TTCAGCAGGTCCAAGGTCAGCTGCCACCTTTAATGATTCCAGTGTTCCCTCCAGACCAGCGGACTCTAGCCGCGGCTGCCCAGCAAGGATTCCTCCTCCCTCCTGGTTTCAGCTACAAGGCAGGCTGCAGTAAGTCAACTTGCAATTTTGTTTTCCAGGCTGGGGTATGAGCAGAGGGGGGCAGAGTTTCAGAGTGGGCTGGCTAGAGCCGATATAGATTTGGGGACCAAACGGAGGTAAGAAATGTCTGTATGCTGTTTCAAAAAGTCGTGCAGAAATGAATTATCAAAAAAAAAATCTTCTTAGCTCTGAGCGCCAATAGAATCCTGTTCATGTAGAAATGAAAGTGTGCCCCCAATTGCCATGCACTCTCAGTTGGCACAGGGTACATCTTTCTAGGGTCGCCAGGAGGGTTGAGGAGGCACACTCCCATGGGAGAATTCTTTTTTAAATGCCACCTCATATACGTACCGGCAGTTCTTACAGGAAGTGACAAAGGGTAGCTCTAGGAATCGTCAGAAACTCTTTGGTAAAACCGTAGGGTTTCCAGCAGTTCCTAGAGCTACCCTTTGTTACTTCCTGTAAGAACTTCCAGTAACCATAGAGTTTATGGCAGTTCCTAGAGCTGCCATCTGTCACTTCCACTAAGTACACAAGGCTGCATTTAAATTTTTTTCCCTTTGCTGCTCCAGACAGCAGCAAACAACATGACCGGGTGCAGGGCGTCCTTGCCCCCACTGGGGGCTTATGTAAGCCAAAGATGAGACACACCGTGCTAACTTACGTCACAAATTCTCTACTGTTATGTAATAAAAATGAAATATAGCTTCACTAAAGTTAAAGATAGGGCCACGGTGGCTCAGAGATTAAGATGCTGAGCTGCAGATTGGAAGGTCTGTAGTTCAGCAGTTCGAGACCTGAGTGTCGCGTGACAGAGTGAGCTCCCGTCTCTGGCTCCAGCTCCTGCCAACCTAGCAGTTCGAAAGCAAGAAATTGCGAGTAGACAAATAGGTACCACTTCGGTGGGAAGGTAACAGCTTTCCATGTGCCTCGGTGTTTAGTCATTGCCGGCCACATGGCCATGGAAAAGTCTTCAGACAGCGCTGGCTCTTCGGCTTGGAAACGGAGATGAGCACCGCCCCCTAGAGTCGGAGTCGGCTGGCTTTCAAGCAAGGGAAATCTTTACCTTTACTAAACTTAAAGATACTTATACATCCAATGCCTAACCCTCCTGGGTATGTGACAAGCTATTTTGAAAGCATAAATACCGTTGAGAAGAACATCTGCTCCACCCTGAGCTAATTCCCAGCCACCACAACACCTGCTGTCCTAAATAGCAATTAGACTAGGAATCAATCCCAAAACACTGCTGGGGGCTTTCATTTATTTCCCCCCCCCATTTGATTTACTTCGTGTATATGCTACCTTTCTTCCCAACGGGGACCCAAAGCAGTTTACATCATTGTCCTCTCCTCCGTTGCATCCTCACAACAGCCCTGTGGGGTAGGTTAGGCTGAGAGTGTGTGTCTGATCCGTGGTCACCCAGTGAGTTTCCTTGGCAGAGTGAGGATTCAGGTTTGGGCCTCCCAGATACTAGTCCAACACTTCAACCACCACACCATGCTAGCTCTCACTGATGGTGTGGGGCTTCTGGTATCAGTGATTCATGGTGCACCCATTCGCTACGGCAGCTGTGTTGCGTATGTAAATCTGCATCAGCAAGAAGTATCTACAGAAGACCTTCCGCTCCTCTCCTCTCCTTGGGACATCAAGTGTCTCATTCTTCTGCAGGCATTGCACATGGAGACTACTGTTATTGCTTTGGGTTTGGGAAATTCGGGGAGATTTGGAGGTGGCGCCTGGGGAAGGGTGGAGTTTGGGGAGGGGAGGGACCTCAGGGGGGTACGGTGCCATAGAGGCCATAACTCAAAGCTGCCATGGCCAAGCACTCGGGTTACCAGCTCCGGGTTGGGAAATTCGGGGAGATTTGGAGGTGGAGCCTGGGGGAGGGTGGAGTTTGAGGAGGGGAGGTACCTCGGGGGGGGGGTACAGTGCCACAGAGTCCACCATCAGTGCTGCCATTTCTCCAGGGGAACTGATCTCTGTCATCTGGAGACTGGCTGGAATTCCACGAAATCTCCAGAACCCACCTGTAGACTGACAACTATCAGGGAAGGAGACGCGACAATGTTTCATTTCATTCCCCCCCCCCATACATAAACATAATCTGAAAGTGTTCTGTCTAAGATGTTTGAGAGCATTAAACCCCCAAACAAATGGATTAGATTTCCTTTGAAGCGGCATGCCTATCTCCTTGCCAAAAGCAGGCGTTGTTTGAGATGCCCATCCTGCCCCCCCAAAAAAACTTAACACTGTTACAGGGGAAAGAAGTCCCCCCCCCCTAAAACAGCCTGCTGTCTATTTAATGAAGAGGCTTAATTTGTCCCCCCCTTTTTTGCGAGCAACTTCGAAACAACAGGAAAGTCCCATTAATCTCAACGGGAGTTCCGCGCATAGATCAAGAGTAGCATATGCCACTCAATTTATGGGCTAAGAGAAAGCATGGGAATCCTTATTGCCGTCGAAGGTTGAGAAGTGCAGCCGATTAATCCTTGAAGACTTTGCTTGCAAAGGATTCCCTCAGTGTGTGTCTCTGTGTGTATGTGTGCGCGTGGGGGACGATTCTATTTCGGCTTTATATAGAACCTTTCTGTGTCCCCGTCACCGAAGGTTATTGAAAAACCAGGCTCGGGGTGTGGGGGAGGGACCTGAAATGTCTTCATTTCAACAAATAGATTTATCTTCATCCTGGATTTCATAAAACTGGTTTCATTCATTTCCGCTTATCTAACTCTTCTGACATCAGTTTCCTATCTGGCTATCTGAGGCCCTCTTGTTCTGTCTGTGGCTCCTCTGTTTGGCTTTATTATGTTCGCATCAGTGTATCATTGACTCCACTCATGAATTCGGCAATTGTTTTTCATTTGTGTGTGTGCGTGTGCGCACAAGTGCTCTGTTCGCCGAACGAGCCATTGGATTCATTTTCGAGGCGAAAATGGACCGAGCTGGCGAAAAGTCTGTTCCGATGTGCTAATCTTCAAGGCTGAATGTTTTCTTATTGAACTTCACAAATATCATAAAAAAGGAGTCATAGGTGTTTCCCTTTGGTAAACGGGAAATGTGCAAAGATCACGGGGGGGTGGCGGGGTGAGACACATGGGGATAATACAAACTACAGCCCCACTTTCCAGTTCAGATTCGAGGCTAAAAGCTACCATTTTCAATGGGTTAGTAATTTTCCCCACGAGCAAACAAAGAAAGTGAATGTTCTGCGTAGAGCTATTCTCTCTCATGTCTGCTGCTGTGTTGGCCTCTTTTTTCCTTCTCACTCCTTCCTCTTCTTCCTCCTTAGCCACATGAGTGAGTTCAGCCAATCAGAGATCACCACAGAATGGCACTGCCAGTGGCCATCATATCTGGCTAAACGATGATGTCTCTGAGAACCAGTGGTTAAGTGCATGGACTCTAATCTGGGAGAACCGGTTTTGATTCCACACTCCTCCACTTGCACCTGGCTGGGTGACCTTGGGCAAGCCCTAGTTCTGATAAGAGCTGTTCTTGAAAAAGAGCAGTTCCTGTCAGAGCTCCCTCAGCCCCACCTACCTCACAGGGTGTCTGTTGTGGGGAGGGGAAGGGAAAGGAGTTTGTAAGCCGCTCTGAGACTCCTTTGGGTAGTGAAGGGCGGGGTATAAAACCAATCTCTTCTTCTTCTTCTGAGAGCAAGTGAAGGCAATGGCTAGTGAGGGCAAGGATACTTATTAAGTGAGCACCTTTTCCCAAGGAGTGCCAGGAAAGGGGAGCAGTTTTTCCAGCGTTACCAAAAAAAAAGATCCTTGTGATAATTTTTTCATGGGGTGCCGCACAAGACGATGAAGTGTTTTATAAAGGGTGCTCACATTGCTTACAGACACAAAGTGAACACACGAACACTTGAAGCTGCTTTATACTGTCTACGACCTCTGGTCCACCGAGATCAGTATTGTCTACTCTGACTGGCAGCAACTCTCCAGAGTCTCAGGTCGAGGTCTTTCACATCATCTACTGCCTGCTACTTTCAACTGGAGATGCTGGGGACTGAACTTGGGACCTTCTGCATGAGGAGGAGGAGGAGGAGAGGGAGAGGAGTTAGGTTTTAGACCCCACTCTTCACTACCCTAAGGAGTCCCAAAGCGGCTTACAATCTCCTTTCCCTCCCTCTCCCCACAACAGACATCCTGTGAGGTAGGTGTGGCTGAGAGAGCTCTGAGGGAGCAGTGACTGACCCAAGGTCGCCCAGCTGGCTTCATGTGGAGGAGTGGAGTATCAAAGCCGATTCTCCAGATCTGAGTACGCCGCTCTTAACCACTACACCAAATTGCCTTCTACTACTGAGCAACAGCCCCTCCCTAAGTGGTGACTTTCTGTGGTATGCATATAACTACGTGGCAAGCCAATCATCTGTATCCCCCCCGCCGCCACGTGTTGGGAAGTTTTTAGCCACACTTTCACACCTGGTCCAAATTTGAGGGATGAGGGAAATGGTAGAAGATTTCTACCCGGTCAACTGAAAAACTTTTTATATGGTGTAGTCACTCCTTCCTCTTCTTCCTCCTTAGCCACATGAGTGAGTTCAGCCAATCAGAGATCACCACAGAATGGCACTGCCAGTGGCCATCATATCTGGCTACACGATGATGTCTCTGAGAGCCAGTTTGGTGTAGTGGTTAAGTGTGCAGACTCTAATCTGGGAGATCCGGGTTTGATTCCCCACTCCTCCTCATGCAGCTGCTGGTGTAACCTTGGGTCAGTCACAAGTTGTCTCAGAGAGCTGTTCTCCCATGAGCAGTTCTCGAAAGAGCTCTCTCAGACCCACCTACCTGTTGTGGGGAGGGAAAGGGAAAGGAGATTGTAAGCCACTGAGATTTCTTTGGGTAGTGAAGGGCAGGGTATAAATCCAATCTCCTCTTCTCTCCTCATCATGAATGGGTACCCATGTTCACCCACAGTTAACAGTGTTCAGGTCAATTTGTCCTGAAGGTTGCCAGGTAGCTTGCTTGGGTTTATTTTTATGGATGATATGCAAATGGCCA